CAAGATGTTCAACTTCACTGTCAACGTTTGAGGGTTGAGAAATTGTAAGTGCTCTATACATGAGAGAGCTGATAACGGAGTGTTTCTGGGAGGGCTGGTGATGGGAGGTAGCATTGAGATACCTACCTGTTCCTGAGGATCTAGCTTATACACCGAAGAGCAACTTTTTCTAAAATTTTCAAAAATGTCTGCTAGGAGTAGAACATCAGTTTTCAAATACAAATCTGAATATTCCCCAAGTGTTGAGATGTCAAACTTCNTGTGTCTTTTTATTCCATAAACATTATTCTCGGGATAGTCCGAAGTGTCGAATTTTGATGGACTGTCTTTGATGAGCTCATAAATGACTGGAACCGTGAAATAATATAACAGACTATCTGTGTGACTTGGTTGGCTTCCGGATGGATGCCGCGTTGAGTTTCAGCATTGCGCCGACGTTTCGCAAACATTGCAGTCTGCATCTTCAGGGCTATNGGAACTTTCAAAATGTTTCACTAAATCAACAATCAAAAAATGTGCATCATAACCCTAGAGATTATGAAAAACCACTGGTATTTCATGTGCATTTTTATAATTAATATTGCATCCTGCATGCGCAGCTCCACGATACCTGTCAGTAAAGTGACAATGATCTCGATGTTTAATATCTGTAGAAATGAACGGTTTCTCACAAATATGACACTCTTGGGATGCTTCAAAATCTTGCGATTGTTTGCTAGTGAGTCTCTCCATTGGCACAACAGTCTTTAAAATGTCATCAACCATCACTCCGATTTTTTTCAACTGATTCATAAACCAGATGATGCAGTCAGAGCCACGTTTGATGTTAAAGCGCGATAGAGTTGTATTAAACGAACATTGTAAGTAGAAAGCGATACTGTATGGCACATGTTTTTGACACAAGTTATCATCATCGTTCTCATTAGTTTCTAAAATGCTTTCCAGGTCAGCATAAATGGCAAATGGTACAGGCTCTTTGAACTTATCATTTTTGAAATTTAGTATTTTGTTTTCCTCCACCGGTAAGACCATTTTACACTTATTTATTAAAAAACAGTCCTGTTTGTGTTCATCATAACGTTTTTTCTCACGAAAATGACACAGACACCGATCACATAGGTATGTAAAATGCCCACTACTCGAAATTTGTGCAGTCACAAGTTTTGAAAGATTGTTAATCCACGCATAGTGATAAACTGGCTGTGCATTAGCTGGAACATGTACATTCGAACAAAAAAGTAGTAAATGAATTGTAGGTATGTGAGACTCCACTTTGCTGAGGTAAAAAGGCACTATTTCTTTTTGATGATTGCTTTCATTTTCAATACCGTAAATATTGATGGATATGTTATTTTTCTTCTCAAATATATGAACATCACTCAAAGCGATGGGGAAGTTGATACCCTTATAATCAACCGTCTTTTGACTTTGAGGTATAGTTGCGATGGTATAATGAGGATATGATGAAGTAAGACATCTGTTATTCTTTGCTGGATAGAGAGCAGCGATAACTGACCACAAGAAGCAAAATTCATCGGCATTTTTTATATTCACAACAGCTTTTTTCAGTTGTATATGATACGGCAGCGTAGCAAATGTCGATAAGCCAGCACTGAGAGGAGCATATCGATTCATATTAATCATCAAATGTAGAATTTCAATTAGTTCCCATCCTGAATCACATTCTTGGAAATCCTCAATTTTTGTAAGCAATGGTTCCGTGACATTCTCATCAAACCATTCACCGAGATCTGTGGTCGGCAAAATAATTACATTTTTCGTATTGAAATATTTAATTTCACTATTGATGACTTCTTCCTTTTTTATTTGAAATTTACACGCTAGTATACTATTGACTTTCATATTTCCATTGCTCTCACGAACATTCTCCAAACGGGCAATTGACAATTCTTTTGCATCGTCAAGAAACCTCTTAGGATCCTTATTTTGAAGATTGATTATAATGCCAGAACGTATTCGGCCTCGAAAGGCCAGTGGACCATCCTTCCAGCGAACTCGACGAGTGAGTGATTCTTCTCCGCTACCAGATGACACCTGCATGCGACCTCCTTGATGCAGTCTGTCTCTGAACCTTTCTTCATAACGCTGGATGCAAGCGATGATTGATAAAACTTGGTTCTTCTTCCCCACCGATGGATTTCCCCTGTTCAGGGCGCTCGTGTAAAGTTGAATATAACGAATGCATTTATTAATCCATCGCTCTATGTCGTGATAGAGCGCTGTTTGATAAGCATTCTCTAAGACTTTTAGTATTCGCGGAGGCGGCCCGGTATCGCGGTCCATCTTGAACAAATACACTAACAAACTCAGTGTGAATGTAACTGAATTTATAGCAATGATCATATGTGTAAAATCCCCCCCCACCAAGCAAATTTCAAGAATTATTTGACCGTTGCAATTCTGCGAGTGATTTTTCCGTTGAGATGTTTCATCATGACGAAGAAGTAAATTTCGAGGAATGATTGAACCGTTTACATTCTCGGAATAATTTGTCCGTTGAAAAAATACGTTGGATTGTTTCATCATATCATCCCCTTGATTCATCAAATTCCCAAGAATTATTTGGCCGTTGAGACTGATGCAATGGTTCGAAACTGTTAAAAAGTACGTTGGATTATGCAATTTTTCTTAGAAATTTTAGACCGTTAAAATGATCAGGAATAATTGCAACTCTTCCCTCCACTCATGTAAGTCTATAAGTACTGATCATCAACCCCTTGAAGAGACAATCTAAAGTCTGCAACGGCGCCGATACAATCCTTGAGCCTATATCGAACGAAGTGCAAAGTAAACAAAAATGGAGGCTGATCAACCACTGGATTTGGATCTGGACGGAATTAACTGTATCGCTTTGGGGAATTTCTTGCCTACCAAACGTCGAGCAGACCTGACGCTGAACGAGGAATACCTAGTGACGGATTTGAAGATCATCTCTACCAGGCAGTTTGGAGACAAGGTAGCCGTTATGCTGAACGATGAGTTCATCGTGTATTTACCAGCGCGGTTGTCTGACACCTTCCTGGAGAACTTGCCGAAACTGGAAGCCTATCGCCTGACTGCCGCTGCTAAACGTTTGAAAATAAAATTTTTGGAGGGGAGATATAATCCTTGCGTCTTGAGTGAGCTGAAAGTATAAATCTATTCCTACAACTACGTTTATAAAAAAAGAAATGTATTGAATAACCTGAAAAGATGTAGGGAAGAAATAAATTTGAAAACTGAGCTTTAATTTTTGTTCAGTGTTANGTCTGACACCTTCCTGGAGAACTTGCCGAAACTGGAAGCCTATCGCCTGACTGCCGCTGCTAAACGTTTGAAAATGAAATTTTTGGAGGGGAGATATAATCCTTGCGTCTTGAGTGAGCTGAAAGTATAAATTTATTCCTACAACTACGTTTATAAAAAAAAAAAAGAAATGTATTGAATAACCTGAAAAGATGTAGGGAAGAAATAAATTTGGAAACTGAGATTTAATTTTTGTTCAGTGTTATATTTTATTTTTTTTTTAATGAATAAAAAATGAACCTTAATACATAAATCTTTAAAAGCTATAATAATAATTTTTGAAAATATAAGTTAACAGCATCTGAAACAGATGAAACGTATATAAATATTAATTTTTCTTGAATGCAATTTAAGAAAATGGTAGAAAGAAGATGATGTTTACTCACTTTATTCGATGCAACGACCTTGTACGCCTAAAATGAGCCATGCGGCGATGGTGACGTACCGCGCATGTGGCAGTATCTCCCTCGCCTCTTCCTCACGATCGACGAGACGGAGGAAGTTCAAAAATCCTCTCATCTCCTGATGAACAGAAGCTTGCTGTAAACACACAAGAAATATAGAAATGAGTTACATGAAAATTATTATTATTTATAGAAATGAATAAATGAACAACTAAATTGATCATTTGTTGTTGTACCTTCGCAACACACAGAAAATCTCCCAGGTATGCCAGGAAACTGACAAACTGGTGCATTGGCACCGCCAAATGTCCCGCCAAAGGGTAATAGTGTGGGATATAATCCTGACACTTCTCCTTCTGCTCCAGCCACCAATCCTCCATGGCTGCGTCCTCTTCCTCCCACTCCTGCCTCTGCTCAGGGTTTGGGAATGGATAATTCTCCATGTTTTTTTTCCACTGTAATAAACATACACTTGTTAATAATCACACGAAATCGCTTTTAAATGCACTAAAATCACTTTTTTCACTCAAAATTTGAAATACTTACATTGATTTCAAACTTGGCAAAACACTTTTCAACTATCTCGTGGATGGTTTGAGACGTACTGAAGCAGAGCAGTAAGACTGCGTATCCACTTAACAAACACTTCACTCCCCTTCTCGGTTGGGCGCCTGGCGTCTGGCATTCAAAGCGTCAATGTTTATGTTTTGGAGGAATGGAGGATTGTGAAGACGGTTGAGACTAATAATTGAAATATATTTACATGAACTATTTTTCTTTTTATTCAATACATGGATAATTTCAAAATAATAATAATGAAAAAAA